GTAGGGAAATGCAATATATCAATGCAAAAACCACAAATTGAGATTACAGCTGCTTCTGTAACTGAATGAACAAAGCTCCTGCAAGTAACTGGGAAAGAAAAGCAGGAGAGAAGAGAAGGTGATCCTAAAAAACCCCCGTGCTTCTCCATGAAAGGAGAGAAGTTGTCAGAGGGGCAGCTCCAGACTTGCAGCCACATCAGCTCACCTGTGGATGTTGGGAATACTCGCCATATTCATAATGCCATAGTTCATCATCACCAGGACAAAAAGATGAATGGAATACCTTGAAGACAACAAAGTGAGTATTTAGATCATTTCTACATGACCTGGAAGGGCTGGCAGTTCAGAGCAAGGGAATATTTTTCCATGCAAATGACATAAATGCAATGTCATATCAGGGTACTGGTAAACATGGATTATCACAATGACATCTTTATAGCCTGAATATCCAACATAAATTAATACTTATTGACAAGATATGTCAATGTGTATGTTTGAGAGAAACAGCAGCCTAGCTCAAAGTGAACATTCAAAGCGGATGCATCTTTTCTGAAAAGAGGTATCTTCACAGCAGACTGGTGTGGCTTTAACTTCCAGAACAAACATCACAGATTAAACACTTCACTTAAAAATACTTTCATGGGTCATTTTACTTTGAGAGTTTGGGATGGTTATGCTGGTTATGAATTTTTATTTTTTTTTTTTTAGGATAACACAGAAAGTGCCTTAAGACTAAAAGATGTAATCCAGAAAAGCTGATATGAAGTTTAAAAATATTTTTACCCAAACCTTGTCTACATGGTGACTAAATACTCACCACCCAAAGCAGAAGACAGCAAAGTATATTCCAAAGAGGGTGGCAAATGCATGGCGAACAGCAGAGCTGGCATGACTGGGACCCAAGTAAATACGAAACCAAAACGCAGCCAAAAGTGCAAACAGTTGACAGGCTACAAAATTGATCTGTAAAAGACAAACAAAACAAAAAATGGTTGTGATTCTTGCAGGAGGGGGGGAGGAGTCTCCCCATTCTCAGAACAATAAAGAGTGTGACCAGGAAAAGGGGGGGGAAATAGTGACACCAATGAATCTTTTGTTTCTTAACATTCTCACTTGTGAGCCCAAGCGGTAACTTTTCCTTGGCCAACAACAGAAGAGATTAAACAAGCATGTAACCACCCAAACACTCAGACAGGAGGAAGAGCAGGCTCCAGCTACCCGTGGTACAGGCGGGCTCTGGGCAGTTCTCGCTCTTCCTGGGGCAGGGCTCTGCTCCGCAGCCCAACCCAGGTGCAGAGGACATCACCCCCTTCTCTGTCCTCTTGGTGGGAGGCAGAGGCCCAGAAGGAGACTGGGATTCTGAAGCACTGCCCCAGTGCCTGACTTTCTCCACAAACACCCAAAAAAGGGGTGAAATCAACAATCCTGATGTGATGTTTCACAAGCAATAACTGGACAGCGACAGCCTTCTTAGCTGAAATGCTCCACTCCACAGCATCCTCCAAGCAGGCCTTTCAACTTACCATTTTTTTGCAGTTCCAGAGTGCAAAGAAAAGAATTTTGTTCTACCATCATGCTGGCAGCCAAAGGAAAACACTTCTCAATTGTTCTTTGGATACTGCTTGTCTCTACAGAGCATGGGAAGCGGTCTGACCCCATTGTAAGGAGGTAGCAATGACAGTGGGAGCACAAGACAGGTATGTGCGGAGGGCAATCAGTCATGACTAAAGCCTACTCCTATCAGACACAAGGACTAGAAGCAAAAGCTTCAGTGTCCTCAGAGCAAAACCAACACCAAGCTGCCTTCTTCCAGTCACCGTATCTTTGGCAACCTCAGCAAAAATCCTAGAAGTCAGAGGAACAACAGAGCTTAAGAGCTGTCTCTAACAGAGCAATACAGCATTAGGATACAACATCCATAAGACCCGCCTGGACCTTAGACAGCTGGAGTTAAATTCATTTATTCAGCTGCAGTCTTTTTTTTTTTATTAAAAAAAAAAAAATAATCACCCTGAGCTCTCCAGCAGCAAGTCATCCTAGACCGAGCAAAACTAAATAGGCTGCAACATTTAAGCAATCACTTGGATTAGAGGATTATCCAAAGCTATCAGTCCAGGACAGGATGATATATCTCACTCAGAAATGCTCTGACATGCTGGCTGTCCAGAGGTGGTTGGATTCAGCCAGGCTTCTTGTCAAAAACATTTACAACATGTTTAACAAGACACTACAGCCCCAAACTGCTTTTATTCTGGTGGACTATATCCAACAGGGTGCTGTTCAAGCAAATGCTTTTATTAAAGGTTTGTTGCCTACACTGCTGCAGTTCCTTGATTGCAGTGATGCAGGCAGCCACGTAACAGAATAATTCAATAATTTAAGTACTTGGATATGCTGGATTTTAGTTCTTTGGAGCAGAGAATATCAATTTATTTCTTGTTCATGTATGCAATCGGCATTTATAACAGGCAGTGTCATAGAACTATACCCAAAAAGCAAGTAATTAGCAATGTGTTATTATAACAATACTTTACACTTTACTTAAATAAGACAATTCTTATTTTCCATGCAAGACATAAAAAGTAAGAGAACAAAATTGCACTGGTTTCACAAAACCCAGATGCTGTAGTACAAATTCCAAACTCTCATCTGGTCTATTAGCATACAGTTAAACTCAAAACACTAACTCCTCCCTCCCCTCCTTCCACAGCCAGAGGTATCGCAGAAATGGCTGAAGAGGGGACATCCCCTGCAGGGCTGCTCTGATTGCATCCTTTAAAAGCAAGTTCCCAAAACTGATGGATGCCAATTCATCAATGACAATTCAGTGAACCTTAATCCCACCTCAGCCTGCCTTCACCTAGAGTCATACTAGTATATCCAGTGCTGCTCAACGTTGTGGCATGCAGAGCCCCTCTGATTCAGCATAAAGAAGGAAAGTGCAGAGACTCCAAGAAACCTGACGTGGCTGATTGTTTAAAAGACAATACCCCCTTCTGTGCAGTGTCACTCATGGAAAATGTACACCAGTAAAAACCAACAAGATAAGCAAGCATTTGCTTTTTACCTTCATCCAGTTCTTGTATCTTCAGTTTGAGATGTTAAAGATGCTGGGACTTCACAGGTTGACACACACAGCAAAATGAAAGTGCAAGATCCCATGGCAGACACACTTGTGATAGCATTTATATAGTTAGGGCAGGTGACACCAGCAAGCAGCAGAGATTTTGTCATAAACTAACATACAGAATACGACAACAAAGCAGCCTTGCATACGTACACTGTTGCTTGCCTATGCTATCAGTTCCTCTGAGCATGTGTTACCTGTGCTACTTGGATTAAAGTTAGCACAGGTACACCAACCATGTCACTATCACATCATCATTTTGTTGTGCAAGTTAACCAAGACAATTTCTCCTCTGTGCTGTTTCTCCAAGAGTTGGGGTAAAACCTTGCACCAGAATAAAAGCAGAAGTACACACTAGCCTTACATTTCAATCAGCTTTCAATTTACAAGGGTTGTTTCTGCACAGCAGCCAAACGTCACAGACCCGATGTACTCAGCAAGCAATAATCTCATAATACTAATTTACCCTTTTTGTGCTGAATTAAGCTCAAAAGTACCTTACAGAGGAATGGCTACAACACAACATTAAAAGTTACAGATATGATTCAAAAACCTAAAGATTAACCTCCCTTTTCAGGATCTGTAAATGACAGTGATGGTGTTGAAGAGGCACAAACACACATCAGGATTTTCAAGTGTCATTTGAACATTACGTGACCTACCACAATACCACAAACAAAGTGAGAAGGCTGCACCCCATACATTGCTTGGGAGATCAACTCCCAGATACAAAACAAAAACACAGTCTGAAATGTAGAAAGAGAAGTCTTTTCCTCACTGGCTGAAGAGCCACCATAGCTCTTCAGCAGCTTTCCAGGTTCCTCTCCTCCATGGCCAAGTTTTTTTGACAGACAGCACTGCCCCTAAATACAATATGCTTCATTTATTTTTCTTTGTCTACCATTAAGGCTTCCAGGGTTGGGGTTTTTTTTTGTGTGTGTATTTGCAGTAACACACACACATTACAAACAACATGATCGGTTTTAAAGGATTCATCATCAGAGGGGTTCGGAGAGGTATACCAATGGACAAAAAAGCCAGGTAAATACAAGAATTACTGATAAAGCCTTTCTGTCATCCATGAGGTATTTGGTACCTGTTGGAGAAAAACATTGTGGAACAGTATTGGAGAATACTTCTTTTATCTTTCCACCTGTAAGCCTGCACTTAAAATCTGAATGCACTATCACCTCTGGTTTCTGTGGGGTTCAGTCTGAAGATGAAACTTAGCTGTGCAGAGCTCACTGCAAGGTCCAGCACATAGTTTATTGCAAGACTGACTGACAGAGGTGCTAAGCAATTGCAGAATACTTCTGTAGATCAATCCATTCTGCATTTACCTGAGCCAAGCCAAAATCATGGATAAAACAGGCCAAATCTTTTCTTGACTATAACCCGTCACAAAGAGAGGGAGGGAAGTTGTTTGTTTCTTGGGTTTGAGAAATGTAAGACAAATGTCAAGACACCAGTAAAACTGAGGAGCTCCTTTCCAAATTCTGAGAAAATTTGTTCTGCCCGGCAGTCTGAACTCTGTGTTTAAAATTTTAACTTTGGTACCAGACCAGATCTGATCTGTTCTGCACAAAGTAATAGAGGGATATGACAGCTTTTCATATGACTACCACCTCTATTTAGTTATTTATATGTAACACTTCAAACACATGCAGCATTCACAGGTATACACATGAAGACTGCCAGTTCATCTGACAGTGACTTTACTGCATTCTCTTTAATGTCCATTTTATTCTTCACTCTACATATTTAAGGTACCTAAGTAAATAGATCCCTAAGATTTTAAGAAATGTACTGCATCCCAAGTGAAGTAACAGTCACACTTTCCTGCCTTTCCCTTCCCAAAGAGAAAAGGGTTCATATATATATAACCCTTCTGTTTATTTCCACTGTTGCTAAAAAAGTAAATTGAGGGCTTTTGAACATTGATGAATGGTGTCCACACAAAAATAACGCGGAAATAAAAAAGAAATTATACAAGAATTAACACTTCTCATTCCGACCCACCATTATAAGTTATTTAACCCATGTTTTTAGCTAGTCACATCTATTCACATCTATCAATTATTTTTTTCATATCTGGTTTCAACTTTGCCAGCAGAAAAGAAACACCTTTGCTTTTTACAGTCATTTTCTTCCATGTTCTAGCAAGTAAGATGTAATAAAATTAGGAATCAGAGCACATGATATGGTGCCAAAACAAGATACTATCCTCCTTTCATTTTCCATAATTAAACACTGGAAGACAGAAAGGCAGTCTCATCACAGTATCCTGCCACGACATCTGGAAGACATGTATCTGAGTCACAGCCAGCTGAAGGCAGCCTTGCAATGCAGAAACAAGATATCTGTACTTCTGGAGAGAGAGAAAACCTGGAACAGCTCCAGCCCAACTGGGTTGATGGTTATTGTTGTCTGGTTAAGGAATCTTTTAATATCTAATAGTCTGGACTTTAAAAAGCCAGATGGATCCAGAGTATGTAACAACAGGTATGAACGAGAAAAAAAATAAAAGGAAGTTCCTCCCTTTATCCATTCAAATTCTGCAGTAGCAATAACTCAAAATGATGTTTAGACTGCAAATCTGAGTTTGATACAAAGCTAGCAATCAGGTCAAACCAAGGGACCAAGCACCTAGGATGTTGACACAAGAATAACCAAAACATAATGGTGTCAAGATCCCCCTATACTATTATGCCCAAATCAAAGCCCTCAAAGTACATAACAAGTTCCATCTGCCTTGAGCCTTTGCATCTTCTCCCATTTTTAGTAGCCTGAAACTAATTTGGCAAATGTTGGACTGCTACTGTAGGAAGGGGAAACACTAACTCCTAGTCATCTGGGGTCATCTTTTCAGTCACCTCCATCAACAGCACATTACATGAGAAAGTCATCTCTTCATAACCATTCTCAGAGGAAAACCACAAAAATTTTTGCTCTATCTTTTACTGGGTCCCATTAACCATCTGCAGGTGGGCACTTTTAAGGGCAACAGCCAGTTAGCAGTTCACAAAATAAAAGTTCCAACACCTGGTATTAAATACAAACAAACTGGCTCCATGGTGGTAGTTAAGAAAAAAATAAAAAAAATTTTAAAAAAAAAAAAAGGTAGCAATTTGTCAAACTCCTCTAACAGGAAAGTCATGGAGCCATAGTGCATTTCCAAAAGGAGACAGGTAAACGTCTTGTTTGGTGCACTGGAAAATGACTGAAAAAACCCACAAAATCTTATAAGGAGAAAGCGGACAGTGCTTTTCCCAGCTAGAAGTTCTTGGGATGGGAAACAAAATACAAGAGGAGGCAAAACCTGGCTTTATACCTTTCCACCAAATCATCATGAATAGTCTTGGTGCCCACTCACCATAGTTCATGGTAGGCTGCTAACCACCCGCTTCAGGAATTTTCAATTCCCCTCATCCCACAACACATCTGCAAATCTCCCTATTTAAAGTGGTAATAGACATTTGAGGGTTACTAGATCATACTCTAGGGAGAGATAATAAGTAAGATTAAGCACGTAGTCTGTTATTTTAGTGCTTTTAATATTTTCCTTATTGTTAACTATCATGAAGAAATATCCTGCATTCTATTTTGACCACAAAAATACTTTGCTTTTCCTTTACTACTTTTTTCCTCCCTTAAACTAGCAGAAAAACTGATCTCACTTTCCAAAAATCTAGGAGGATATAACAAATTGACCACACAGTTCTCTTCAAACTCCAAACGGCAATTAAGTCCATTACCCCAACTGGACAGCCCTCTGTAAGCAAAATTCCTATTAATGCTATAATTCATTCACTATGAAAATCACTATGAGAAATCACACTGCTAATTTGTCACTTGTTTGATGACAAGGCACTGATGTGTCCCCCACAACACACAACCTTTGGTCAAAAAGCAGGCACGTTGCACATTCACACATGTTCACAGACAGAGATACAAGTGTTACGGCACAGCCGTGCTGCCAGAATATTCCCAGCTAGCATCCAGGTCCATGCCTGCTTCAACAGGCAGCAGATGATACAGACTGTCTTCAGATTACAGATATGGCAGAAGATACCTCTACTTTTATTCCAGGCCTTGCGCTTATCAGACAAATGAGAGAATAAGGCTTTAAATCTACAGTTCATCTGCTGAACAAAAGAAAGGCCTCCCACAGTGGCTCAGTATGAGCCCATGGTCAAGATACTCAGCAGATTTGCTGCTATCTACTAATGAGCTACTGAGCATTAGTTTAGCAAACCGCTACAGGGTTTTTATCTGGCAAATTAGAATTTCCCCTCTATTCGCTAACTTACCACAGATCACCAGACAGCTGCTTTCAGTATTTGCAAAAGCATAAAGAACATGTTAACAGAAACTCCTGACAGCAACACCAACTCCTTCTCAAGTCAAATCACTGTCTGTGGAGTCCAACAGTGCTTGGGCAGTATTTTGGAAAAGGGATGCCATAATAAAACATTCCGCTTTACCAAAGATCAGCCCCACCCTCCAGGATGGTGTCTTTCTTGCAAAGAATAAATCAGAAACTACAGAAGTGCAGCAACTTGTTTTCTCTGTTTAAAAGATTATTTTGCACATATAACCAAACAACATGTTTAAGTTCACTTTGCTGGAGACATTTCTACTTTGATGTTGAAAAATAGACCTGCTGTTATGATAGCATTTCGTAACATCCAAATTGTGATATTTAAAATGGGTGTGTTAAGAATGAGAGATGGAATATTCTTTAATCAGATCATCTCAAAGATATCTGATACTTCAGTGAAATTTTTCAAAATATTTTGATCTTCCAGACTATTTTTATGAACCATAAGGACAAATATTCTCTGCAGAGATCACTTAACTCTACACAGGAAGGTGGCAAACACCCCCAAAAAAGGGCAATATCACAGAAACCATGTCTAGTTTCCCACTGCTAGAATTTTGACTTAGGCTTCCACGAAGGTGAAGTATTCCCATAGCATCATCTGTGCAGCTCCCCTTATTACCCACAGTGGTATCGCTTTGCACAGAATTCAGTGCACCAACAGCCAGCACAAATAGCCATTTGTGAAGAAATCAGAATCGACTGTCACTTGCAAGATGCTGCATTTTATGTCTACATCCAAGCACTGTGAATTGCAAACAGCACAGATCAGAGAGGAGACATTAATTTACATTGGGGAAATACTGATACGACTACTGAAAAGTCACATCTCCAATATTATACTGAAAGTACTCATTT